TGCTAATAATAGTTGTCACCTGCAAATGATTTTATTATTTACTCATTTACTGTTTCAATATACACCTACCTGTTAAGCTTGAATATTATGACGTATTTATTTGAATAAATCCGATCCATTATATCTCAGGTACTACTTATTAGATGTATGCTAAATATTACATTTTTAAGAAACAAAAATATTGATCTTTGAATGAAACTCAATAGAAATGAACTATTATAATCTTAGTACCAAAGATTGATTTTCATCCAAAGAATATATTTGAAAGAACTGCAACGAAATCATCCAGGAGAGCACCATTGCAAGAACTAAATGTTATATTTGAATATTAGATCAACTGAAAACAGCAGTTGGCAAAAAGCGTTTGCCTGGTATTAGGTAATAGAAAAAGTATTTCATTCCACCCGAATAACGCTAAATAACACGTTTCTTCACTATACAATAATTGTCTGCTCTAGTCTCTGAATCTTTTTTCTTCATCGTCCATACTGAGCAAATATTGCATATTTGGATCCCCGTATATTTTGGCCTAGTGTTTAATATTTTGCTCTGTATATATTGCATGAGTACGAATGAGCATCCGCTCTGTTGCACCAGTTGATTTGCTAGCCTACTTATTCAACACTATAGAGGTAATAAATATGCCATTTTGCTGATTTTAACTTTGACAAATATCTTCAGAAAGTTCAGAAAGTTTTCCCACTAAACTAGGTTTAGTAAATACCCATTCTAATAAGCAATAAAACTGAGTATTTCTCTATCGTCTTGGAACATAAAGCAACATCTGTTAAATACCATTTGTCTGATGATCCTGAACATTTCATGTTAAACAATCCAAGAAAATGGTCTCAGTTATCAAATAATCTATGGTTCGCCGAACGCAATATCATAACCGATGCTTTCATTAAACGAAAGAATGTTTTTAATTTTATCATTGATCGGATATTGCATTTTTCTGTCTTTGAGTTATTTCTCCCATCAGCTGCATATCGAAGATGAATTAAGATCAGCTTTTTTCAATTATCTGCGCCACTCATAAAACAAATATTTCCTTTCAACTACAAGACAGTTAAGTAATATTTTTTGTACCTGAAGTACCAGTGTCTAGAAAATGAAGATGGTTCTGCTACTATAACCTCGAGCAAATGATCCTATCTCTGAAGCAACCACAACAACAAGAACTACAAACGCCACTGCAAATCGCAATCGTTATTATTATCTACACTTGCAAGACAGTGCCTATGCAGTTATAATCTATTTCTTTGACTATCGTCTACAACCCTGCTCCATCATTATATTTTTTTTATTAATAGACGATAGCTAATGATTCTGAAACCAACCGACCTCATCTGGAATTTTTTTTCATCTTTATTGTTATTGCGGATTTCTATGACAGTCGTCATGAGAATCGTATTTTTAATCGGGCGGGGATTTAGCCCAGTGGTTAGAACATTTATATATATCATCTTTAGTTGGTTTTTATTATTCCTACAAAAAAGAAAACATAAAAAACAAAATAAAGTTAGTAGTGTTTTAAAGTGAATTCCAATTACATTATTTAGATATTTTGAAATAGACTTTTTCAACCATATATATATATATATACCATTCTGCTTCATTATCTTTTATCACCTTTGAAGCGGATTCATTATTCCACTACATCACCCTAGAGCTCGGTATCTTTCTTAGTGATGAACTGGCCTAAGTGGTTTTTTACAGGTTTTCAGAGAATTGAAGTTTTCCTGTTTACCTGTAGGGATGAAAATAATTGGAAACCTGAATGTGTAAAGTTAGTTGAGTATGCCTGATGTAGTAGAACATCCCAGCCAAGGTTCACATCTTTCCGTCTTGTCTGCAAAGTGACGTAAGGCCTGAGGTTGTCCTGATGAAAGACGGTATACCACCAATTGGCCAGATTGGAACATTTTTTTTTCAAAGAATGCTGCCTTTAATCATTCCAACTAGGAACAGTACTCATCTGAGATTGGCATCTAGGTTCCACCTTTTTACTGTTGAAATAGCTAAATACAACCGCTCCATCTACTGCAGCATTTTCTTTTCTCGCACTTTCTGCCTGTGGATTACTTCAAAAATTTAAAAGCAACGTCAATCGCCATCCTCTATATTCTTGAATTCTGTTCATCTTTTTATATTTCCTCAATCCTCCCTATACTCAGTCTTTTCTCTCACTTTCACTCCCTGCAACCTCCTGTGTACCAGTTGCATTCCTACCTTGCTTAGAGTAAAATGATTAAAAAAAATGAACCCCTGATTTTGCGAAAGATCTTAATACATAAAACCCTTTCAATTCCATCAGATACAGAGCATCACCTTTACTTAACGCTGGCTCATTTCGCTTTTTACCCAGACGTCTTATACGTTATACTATTTTACATTTGCAGTTGCTCAAGAAGAATTTACGATCAACATTTATAATGAAATTTAGTCTCACAATATCAAGTAATATTTACATATTCTAACATATTTACAATGTACTAAATGTACTAATACACGCGATTACTTACTAAGGCGTTCACAAATTTATCGGAGACTCTTCACCGTTAACGTGCTAGTCTAATAAACTATTAGTATTATCTTGTGAATTCGTTCCGCATTGGGTGCTCTATAACTGTGTTTAAGTATCAGATAATATAAGTAAATATTTCTAAATGTTTTCTTTTAAAGCCTAGGCCCTTACGCGAGAGTTAGTAATCAGAGTTATCATGCAAACGAACTCATCCTGTTTAGCAAATACTTATTTGCATTTCAGTCAACAGTTTCATGGTTTATATAAAGCTTCATTTTATTTTATTACATGAAATCCTTTCATTTATCTTTATCACTTTATTTACACCTATTCAAATTATCGAATAAAACACTGGAAAATAAAGAGTATTTATTAACAGCTAAATGTTGGATATATTTAATGTAAATACGAAGAACCATACAGAAAATCTTTACAGTTCTATCACTAATTATACCACGGTTTGGATTTTGAAATTACATACATTGTTGCTAAAAAAGTTCATTCGTTTTATTATTTTTAAAAATCTGTCTTCGAGATCATTTTTTTTTATTTTTTCACTGTCTTTTGATATCTTTAATCATTTTTTAAATATCTGTTACCCGAAAAGGTTTTATCTTTCTCAAAAAGGAACTGTACTGAGGATCTTCCCAACCTTCCAGATAAATGATTTTCTTTTCTTGGGTTAGAGTTAATGTTCTATAAAGGTCAAAATAAATGGTAAGTAATGGCTGAATATGGTAAATGAGAAAAACATCAGCGGACAGGTTGGAAACTACTTTTGCCTTGGTCGACAAAGAAACATGTTATCTAGTGTTATTGTCGTGGATTAATATTTTCTTTCTCTTAACTGATTATAAACGCATAATCCTGTTATTATAGCTAATCCTTTCTGTTTTTATCAACTTGTAAGGTCATTTTTAAGCGAAAAATGTTAGAAAATTACAGGCTGATAAATTATGTAAATATTTTACCGACATTTTCTATGCATACACTTACAGTTACGTATACAGTTTCTATTAGTTACGTCAAATTTACTTAATTTACGTTTAACAACGTAGTTGGTAGGAAAAGATAAAATTTATAAGTAATAAAAACATTAAGATAATAATACTGTCATAGTAAGTTGGGCTTATGACTACATCACGTTGAAACACCGCTTCCCGTATGATCACCGGTGTTAAGCAACGTGGAGCCTGGTCACTACCTAAATGGGTAAGCACTTGGTAATAATAGGTACTGTAGGCTTGGATGTCTGCGTTGTGTAACGGAGAGCCGAGATCCAATTCCATTTGGCTTTGTTATATTCACTTACGCGCAAATACCCTTAGAAAAGATATGAATTCACCTCTTCTTTCCATCTATGGACTTATTAGTAAAAAAAGTGTGTCACTAAAAGATTATCTAAAAAATAAAGTAAAAATATTCAGATTTTGGCATTAAATAACCCATACGTTGATATGCCGCTAAACAAAATAACCAACCTGGTATGTTGTATGTGTAATGCAAAATGTTTGAGCCTTTTGTATATATATATATATATATATATATATATATATAATTTCGCTCTTTTTACTTTTACAGAAAAAAGAAAAAAACTAAATCGATAGATAGATAGATAGATAGATAGATAGATAGATAGATAAAGAGAGATTGGTTTTTGCTCTTCTTGTATGTTGTTTTTATATTTTCATTTAATTTCTCCAACATTTGTGCTGACAACTGTAAGTCGCGAAACTTTGTTTTTCCGACATGCCAAAACAAGGCAAGTCAGTTTCATTCACACTGTAATAGAATGACCAAAAGCGATTCAATTATCTGGCATTTTTCAGAAATTATTAAATTTTACGTCAGCGTCCACCCCACCGCAATTACGACCGTTGCGCTCCGACTAGCATTATCCAACAAAAATGGTTGCCTCGGTCAAAATTATCTCTAACATCTCTCTTTTCCAATATGTTGCTCTCTTTCTGCTTTTCGTTCTATATCCATCAATGTGAACGACCAATGATATCTGCCTAAAGCTCTCTTGCTGTTATTATTTAACGAAAAGTGAGCGTTGGAAAGGTGGTTCTATTAATACGAATGGCCGCTCGAAGCAGGGTGCAACTATTTGTGGAAGCCTATTCCTTCTTGTAGGAAACTTGTGAGCTGCATGAGTTGGTAACTGCGATGAAAGGTTTTGTAGATCATCAAGGTAATATGTTCCATCGGTTTAAGGAGCGATGTCGATTAACCACTGCAAAGAGACTCACGGAAAATATTATATTCTTACTGTGTTATACATTTTTGAAAGGATTCGATGGCAATGAACATGTGAGACGGAGTTGTAGCTGCGAAGATGAACGAAGGAGGTCGAGTTGACGTTAGTGATCAAGAAAAGGAATAGGCAGGACATTTCAATTCATATAAAAGGATAAGGATACAAAAGAAAAAGAAAGGATAAAGATGTGGAAAAGAAAGAAAGTAAAAATGCTTAGTAAGTATTAAGTATAAAGAGAATTAAAAGCGGGGGGGGGGGGAACAAACGGATATTATTCTCTTTCTGTTCTTTATGCTCCTGAGAGAGTAAAGAAGAGAAAGAGAAGAATATAGGAAAAAAGGGGAGGGTTAATGAAGGAAAAGAGAAGAACAAAGTGAAAAAAAAGAGAATGAGAAAAAAAAAGAAAAATATAATGAAAAAGCGGAAGAAATAAAAATGAAGAGAAAAGAATATAATGAAAAAAGGAAGGAGTAATGGAGGAAAATAAAAAAATAATAGTGAAAAAGAAAGAAAGAAAAAGAAAAGAATATAGTGTAAAATGTTAAGGAGTAAATAAGAAAAAGAGTAGAATATATTGAAAAAGTGGAAGATGTAAATAAGGAAAAGAGAAAAATATAGTGAATAAATTGAATGACAAACTGAAAAAGAAACCATTTTATCATGAAATGAAAAGAAGATTCTGTATAAACTGAGAAAACCTCAAGCTAAGCTCATAAGTTAACACGGAGACAAGGAAGAAATGATGTCGTGAAAATAGAAAGAGAAGACAAACTTGTTTCTTTTCAAATAGAGGCTGAACACAAAGAGAACTTATTCTAACCTCCATTTGCCCTTGTGTTATACGAAGCTAAATTTATAAATCGAAAGAAAGAGATGAAAGAGAAAGAACATCTAAGCAAACAGCGAAATTAGAAAAAGAACGAGACAAAGGAGGAAATAGAACAGTGATTATAAAAAAAAAACCGATAAATTGAAACAGAGAGAAAGTGGGAAAAAAATGAAGAAAAATAAAATGAGAAGAAATAGGAGCAAGAAAAATACGAAGAGAAGAGGTGGGATAAAGACAAGCAAGACGGAAAGTGAGAATGAGATAAACAAGTCAAATAGAAATAAATGGAAAGGAAGAATGATGGCTGAAGCAGATTACGAGAAAAATAATAAATATGGGACCAAAGAAAAGGGAAAACATGAAACTCTAGTTAGAAGCAAATAGACAGCTCGATATTTATTGAGCAGATGCAGCTGTAGCACATACAGCAAACTTTGCTTGTTTTCATCGCATTTTGTGCTTTTTTTATTTTCCTTATTAGATTGAATTTTCTTTTCTATTCGGTACGTTGCACCAGACTTATGTGTAAAATACCAGATTCTTCTTAGTACAGCATTTAGTGCGGTGTGCAGGTGTAGACAATATTATGTTTGCGTTTCTGCATGTAAATAGGCGGTAGAAATGTGTATAACTGAGCTGAAGTAAATGTAAATTTGACATAATAAGGTATGTAGAAACAAGTTTTCTGAGGAAAACATGCAAGATGTTAGGTAAATGTCAAAAGCCTCTCACTTTTCTATTTCCATAGAAAGTGTTCAGACGAATTACATTCCTTGGTTCCACCAGTTGTAACCTTCACGGCAACGACCCACCATACCATGCACATTATAACAAACATTTCCTTCATATTCCATTGGTGAGATGTACATTTTGTTGCTCACATGTCCCCATAAACTGTGCCTCTTACTCTGCGCATGTTCATCATCATAGTTAAAAAAAGGAAAAGTCTGTACACAGAAAGGCCTACAAAATACAGAAACACACATACGTCCATACATACATAGAATAGTATCTCTTGGGCCTCTAGCGCAGAAAGAAAGTTAGCATATTTAGTTTGCACGCAACTGCTTGTGTAATAAGTTTGATACTGTTGAGGAGTTCTCCCCTTTTCACACAAATGGACTCACCCAGTATATACATATACTACGGCTACGTGAAGACCCGAGAGAGCAAGACCGAAGAGTCGAGTCCAGAGTGATAGAGTAAAAGGTTGTAGGTAACCGGAAGAGTGAGGGGTGAGGTAACAGCGTTGTAGGAGTCACAGTGAGCGAGCACGTAGATTCAGTAAAAAGTCATACAGCGATAGTTCAATACCAAAGACTGTATATATATTTTGCTACTAACCCGTATTCCTGGAACTACTAACCTGCTTTACCAGTTCGTATTATTACGTTAATACATTATTTTCATATATTCATTCCTGGCGTTTGCTATTTATTTCAACCCGGAATCCACAACAACTTGGCGACGAGGATATCGAACTCACACGGAAGAAAAATTTTTTTCTCTCTCGTCGACCACAATAACTTGGCGACGAGGATATCGAACTCACACGGGAAGAACAAAAAAGACAAAATTCTCCCTCGTCAACTTAGCGACGAGGACTTTGAACTCACACCCAAAAAAAAAATTTCTCTCTCGTCGACCACAACTTTGGCGACGAGGAATTTCTAACACACACAGGAAGATTACAAAGAAAAATTCTCCCTTGCCGACCACAACGACTTGGTGTCGAGAAATTGGGACCTACACGGAAAGAAAAAACTTCTCTCTTCTCACCACAACAGCTTGGGCGACAAGAATTTGTATTTCTCGGAGACTCTAAAGAGAAAATTGCCGTTTTTGCCAGTATCCACAACAACTGGGTAACAAAGTGTTACGAGGATTAAAATACGGAAAATCGAGTTTTTTCGTAAGACTCTTCCCATGGAGGATTTTAAAAGTATTTTAGTAGAACTTGTTAAACACCAAAATGAACAGCAATTACAATTCCAAGAAAGAATGGAAAAAATATTATTACAAACGCAGAAGGAAAACCATGAAAGACAAATGCAAAATGAAGAAAGACAATAACAACTCCAGGAGCTAATTTTAAAAGTAGAGAGTAATACACAACAACAAAATATTGAAAAAGAGGCGACTTTTTCTCAAGACGCAGTATGGAACACGATAGAAACATTGAAATATTCCCTAGAAGAGGATAAAAATTTCGGGGATTTTTTCAGACGTCATGAAGACATCTTCAACATCGATTGTCAAAACTGGACGGAGGCAAAGAAGCTACGACTATTACTCAGAAATTTAGGAACGGAAGAATACACAAAATTTGTGGATTACATTTTGCTAAAGAAGACAAATGATCTAACGTTTGATGAAGCAATTACATGCCTGACGGAGCTCTTCAGCCCGAAAACGTCACTCTTTCACAAAAGTTGGAAATGTCTTAACCTCGTAAAGGATGAAAATGAGGACTATTCCACGTTCGCCGCAATCGTGAATAAACATTGAATGTCTAAGTACAAAAAAAGACTCGAAGGACATTGAGGAGTCAGGAGTATCACATATTCGTAAGTTAAACAAAAGTTTACGTTTTTCACCCTCCCCGGAAAGAAAACAAAAATTCTATAATAATGAAAAAAGATTTTCACCCTCCCCGGAAAGAAAACGAAAATTCTATAATAATGAAAAAAGTACAACGTACAGGGCTAATAATGACGAAAATCAAAGTAAATATAAGCCCCCCCCCCACATCTGCATGTTATCGATGTGGAGGACTACACTGGAATAAGGATTGTAGTTTTAAATATAAAAACTGTGGAAAAATGGGTCACAAGGCATCCCAATATAGGAACAGAAAATCTACTAGTAGAATAAGAGCTACTAGAATGCATGACGAAGACAATACTAACATAAGGAAATATGTGGAACTTGAAATCTTAAATAAAAAGATAAAATTACAACTTGACACAGGTTCAGATCTGACGATAATTAACCTACAGACATGGAGAAAGCTTAATAGACCAACCATGTTACATACACAAAAAATTGCTGAGTCTGTTACAGGAAAGCGTATAAAATTCGAAGGAGAAGTAATCCTAAATGTAAAATTTCACGGGAAAACAAGAAAACTCACAATATTCGTAATGAAGGATACAGAAAATCTGGTGGGCACGGACTGGATGCAGAAGTTCGACGTATGGGATTTACCTATCAGTTCTTTTTGTAAAAAGATAAAGTGCGAATCATCAGAAGTTATAAAACTAAAGGAAGAATTACATAATCAATTTTCAGAAGTATTTTCGAGCGGTTTGGGTCGGTGTAACAAATTTACAGCTAGAATTGAAGTAAAAGAAAACGTCCAACCAGTATTTAAAAAGAAGAGAAACGTACCGTTTGCTACCATAGAGAAAGTCAACAAAGAAGTAAAGAGAGCTTTGAAAAAAATAATTAACAGACTAGGAAACGTGATATACACAATACAATGAGAAAAATTTACCCACAGAAGACATATTGACCAAATACAAAAAAGACGGGTTGAAGAGCCGAACTCGTCACCCGCTGAAAATGATGATTCGATGGAGGCGATCTTTGAAGCGTTTGAGATTCAAAGACCAGAAGAAGAGACAGAAATTAGAAGGACTAGCAGGAAAAGAAAATTTACAGAGCCTCTGATTATCGATTATAAAAAGAAAATATATTAACTCCCCCAAAAAAGGGATCTAAGGAGGGGGGGTTGTTGAGGGGTTCTCCCCTTTTTACACAAGTGGACTCACCCAGTATATATATATATATATATATATATATATATATATATATATACGGCTACGTGAAGACCCGAGAGAGCAAGACCGAAGAGTCGAGTCCAGAATGACAGAGTAAAAGGTTGTAGGTAACCGGAAGAGTGAGGGGTGAGGTAACAGCGTTGTAGGAGTCACAGTGAGCGAGCACGTAGACTCAGTAAGAAGTCATACAGCGATATTTCAATACCAAAACTGTATATATATTTTGCTACTAATCCCGTATTCCTGGAACTACTAACCTGCTTTACCAGTTTGTATTATTACGTTAATACATTATTTACACATATATTTGTTATTTATTTGTACCGTATTTCAACCCGGAATCCACAACAGATACTTAAATCTAAAATAAGCTTTGTAAGCATACACATATATTTGAATACATTTCTAAGAAACTCATCTCAAATGTTCAACAGGATGTTTCACCTTGTTCAGAATTATCTTTGCCTTTGTCACACAGTTTTCTTGAGCCTTTTTCTAAGAAGTTGACTATTACACCTCTTGCGGATATTCTCATTCAAGGCCAGCTTCAGAGTGGAAACTGCAGCACCAGTTTCCCGTGCCAAAGTCCGCATTCCCTTGACTGGGTTTTCCAACATTTTCTCGTGCAGCTGTTGGATGAATTCTGGTGTACGGATGTAATCAGAACGCTTACTGTATTATTTCCTATAAGCCACGGTCTCCTTTGCAGCTCTTAATTTCTTATTATTTTCAGTGTTCAAAGAGCATTGAGCAGCTATCATGATTGCGGCATTTTGGTGCCTGGCACGAATCATCATGATGCAGGTTGCAGTTTTGCAATATTCAGGTGGCTTCCATTCATTCATGCCAGTTAACTTTAACATCATTAAAACTGTCGCGACGAGGTTTCCAAACGCTGTTCCCAGTTTACAGATATTCCAAACCAATCTGAAAAAAATAAACACAAATATATAGGCATGTACCCAATATTATTCATGAGAAAATATCATAGATTGTATTTATAAAATTTATGAATATAGGATAAACATGATAGTTCGATCGTGAAATTCTAGCCGATTCATATAGATATGGACAAAAAGAAAATTTCATAGAGATATGAAAAGTCTTTAATAGATAAATAAAAAAGTTTTCATAAATTGCTTCTCCGAGAGCAAAGTATAAGATAAGAATTTTCATAAAATTCTTATACGGTTCACTTGATTCAGTTGGAAGATTATTGTACTGGGGACAGCAACTCTATGGGGGATAAAAGGACGATTGGCTGTTGCCATTCGGAAACTTCTTAAGGATTTGCATTTGGTGTAACCCACTTGTTTTAATCAACAATGGTGCTGAATTCTCAAACAATATACAAGTCAAAGTAGACGCGACGGAATCAAATATTAGAAGAGTCTGCATAATGGCAGTCAAACTAAGAATAGGAAAAGATTGAAAAATATTAAAAAGGATTTTCTTTGTTAAGAAAAGCTCCACATATTCCTGTTTATGTGAATCAATGTATCTAAAACTATGTTTTTTTTTT